CATTTCGGCATCGTTATCACTAACTTGGGTTTAATAATCATTTACAGGTTTGTCTTCTTTTTGGGGTAAAATTTACATACAGTGAAATACACAAATCTTAAGTGTAACCCAAACTTCTACCAAGATGTAGTATATTGCCATAACCCTTAGGAAGTTCCTTTATATCCCTTTCTGGTCAATACAAACCCCCACTCATCCCCCAGATGTAGCCCTTTTCTGATTTTTTTTCCACCATTGATTAGTTTTGTTTGTTCTAGAACTTGATACAATATGTACTCTTATGTGTCTGGCTTCATTTGTTCAACATTATGGTTTTGAGATTAATCTACTTTGGGCATGTTGCAGTAGTTTGTTCTTTTTTTTTTGCTGAGTAATAAACAGATTGTATCACAATTTGTTTATTCATTCACTTGTTGGTGAATAATTGACTGTTTCCACTTTGGGGCTATTATGATGAATAAAAAGCTATGAACATTCTTGTGTCTTTTTGTGGTCATATGTTTTCATTTATTTTGGGTAAATACCTAGGATTAGACTGGCTGGATCATAGAGTAGGTGTGTATTTAACTTTTATAAGAAAATGTCAAAGTTTTCTAAAGTGATTTTACCATGTGAACTCCTACCAATAATGTATGAGAGTATAAGCAATTAACTTTTTGCCTTGAGCACTGTATTAGCTACAAAAGAAATTTAAAAAAAAATATCCTTATGCAAAAAGCTTACAGTATAATTTGTGAGGTTAGGCTACTACACATTAAACAAAGAAAATTTGAATATTAAACTGTTCAAAACTTACTTAACATGCAAAAAGAATTATGTAGTCTTAAGTAATCAAGAGCAGAGGCCCCCTGCCCCCACCCAATTCACCACTGATATTTGTTGGGTCAGATGCTACAGCTAACCTGCTCCAGGGAAAGGAGGGAAGGAGGTGCTACACAGACTGTTCCTTATATTAAGATTTTTTTCTTTGTAGGATTCACTAAGCAGTTAATCATTGAAATTATCAAGGAATTTCACCGCATTCTAAACTATTAGGTAGCACATGGTATGAATCCAAACAGGCCTCTATTGGATCACTGAAGCAAACAAGATTTTTTTTTTTTACATTATACTATCATGTTAACTCTTTAATCAAATTCCAAAGATTATCAGCCACATTACATACCATGATTAGCTTTCTACAAACAACTTTGCTTTCTGTGTACAAATAAGTGTCAATGAAATAAAAAATAAAACTGTATACTAGGCAAAGAACTTTATTAACCTTTGCTTCAAACTTTATTCCCAAGCTTCTTCACCTTAAT